TTGTTATTACGCTTGTGAACTTCCTGCTGGAGTTTTGTGTTAAAGTTTTCAACAGCATTTAGCAATAAATAATAATGTGGAAATAAAACATATAAAGTGTAATTTATTTCGGCAAAGTCCTAAGATCAACCTATGTAGAAAGTTCGATAGAGAGCGTTAATGAAAGACTAGACCGTAAAATAATGAGTCATACAGTCAACAGCTTCAGCTATGAATTTGACCTTTCTTAGCAGTGACAAGAGGTTTCATTTCGTTCAATATACAATCTGCTGTGTAATGGCTCTGTTCATCATCTGTCAACTCTGCAACACAAGGGCTTCTTTACAAATAAGCAAGTTGAATAATTTTCTCTCGGGTTTCTCTTTCTGTAGTCTTATCTGTGTGAGACTGGCCTCTCTGATAATCAGAGCAATATCTTCTGCGCTAGTTAAAAATATGCTTATATTATGATGATCTCAGCGTCATTCAGGTATGCCTTAAAAGATAAGCTAGATACGATGTTAAAATGATCATAAATACGGCATAGAGGGTCATACAAATATGGTGTTAGAATGATACAGTTATGAGCATAAATGAGATGATCATCGTATGGCCATATTTAGTCTATTTTTCTTTCTACGATCTTAAAATGATCTTAGGATGACTATGAAATGTCATTTTTACATCATTTTTAAGTCATCACATGATCATTCTAACGTGATTTTAAGCCCATATCATTTATTGCTCATAAATGGGCCACCCTCTGCTTTCAGAAAGGTTTCTGTTTTGTGTCTTTCGCTCTTCAAAAAACCTTGTGTGTTTCTTTGGAAGAAGAAAAATATTTTTTTGCAGGACCACCGTCCTGCTGTGAGATGCTAGGTACGTCCAATCTGTCATGCTCAGGGATAGAGACTCATATATATATCAAGAATCTTAGAATTAATTTTATATTAATTCAGCATAAAATTTGGAAAAGAAAAACTCATAGGAAACCGATAGGTTAGCCTCGTTCATGTTTATAACGGTGGCTAATATTCCCGTTAACCACTCCAGTTTATATATCATTCAACAGAGACTTTCACGGGCTTCACAATGATGTATAAGATAATCTTAAGAAAATGTAGCTGAGCAGTCTAAAATCGCGTAACTGCAGTCGATTTACCACCTAGCTACAAAGGGCGTGAAAGTTACAAAATATTCCGGTGAAAAAGCGCTATAGAACGCCGGGAGATGTCTTATTTTGTTCAGAATTCTTCGCTCTATAAGGCTATATGGTTTGCAACATTTTCTGACCAAAAACTGAGGACTTGGTTTTCCAGCGGTCAGATTTTCTAGAAGCTCTATTATCAACTTTTCTCATAAAAAGGCAATATGCACCTCATCTGATAGAAAAATCTTCGGGCTATTCAAAACATTATTCAGGTTGGTTCCAGCATTTTGAAATTCTCTACAAAGTGAGCTGATCACAATATCCAGACAGGTGAACCCAGTCATTACAGATATGGAAAAGAAGGTTTTAGGTGTTATCTAAGCACTATAGTGTGCCACAATCACAAGAACTCTTTTGTTTTTGACTTTTTAGTAAATGCTGGAACCAATCTGAATAATGTTTTGAATAGCCCGAAGATTTTTCTATCAGATGAGGATTATCTTATTTTTCTTTCAGAAAAAAACTAAATAGAACACTGAAACATTGTCAATAATTATCTGCTAACGGCAGTAAACCCGTAGTACATAATAGTAAGAGACATACAATAATTTTAAAAAATGGTATCCGTGGACGTTTAAGATCTCTCCACCTAAAAAATAATTTACTTAGGTAACATGGTAAAACAATTAATTATCCGCGACCAGGTACAAGCTAATTAAACGGAATACTGTTTAGGAATAGAAATTGAACAAAACTGATGTAATTCTTACCTGAATGCGATAGAGCACTAGCTAAACTACCAGCAAAACCTACTACAACATAAATAATCATTAAATCCTGTTAATTTTCCTAAATGACGCATTATTGTATATTAAAATATAATTGTTATAGTCAAATGAATCAATCTGCAATACGAAAGCAAACAATATATGTATATATGCTTATCTTCTTTTCATACCCTGCAAAATATAACTATCCAAAATCGATATACTTGAGCAGGAGTTAGCACTGCAATAGAAAAAAAACTTCTTAGCTTCATTTAATTCACAGACACCGTCTAAATTTATTTCTTACTTGTAAAAAAATTTAAGTTTCACAAGTACTTTGAATACAATCAACCTAAATGGTATTCTAACGGATATTATTTAAAATACGTTTCTATAAACATTTACCTGAGAACACAGATGTGCACGTGGTTGATAAATACCCCCACGATAACGACAATTTAAAATGGAGAAAAATTAATGTGAAATTTATTCGACTAAATTTAAATTTAAAGATATACCCTCTCTTGATGTTAAAACACAATCGTCCAAAACACCGATACAAGGCGGATTGTCTATATTTTTGCAACGTATATGCGATATTTTGAAAAATTATGATTTATACATCCTTTTCAATATGAAGACAAATCTATAAGCTAGTCAACATTATTTGAGACGATGAAACTAGAAAAAATATTTTGAAACGTACTGACCATTGTGTCACATTAAGAGACTATTTTAATAATTCTGAATCGGCATATGTGATGGCGAAGAACTTTCTTTCGTTCAAGGAACGTTACTAACGAATTGTTTCACACATATTCTAAAAACGAAAGAAACATGTATAGGCAATAAAAAATTTTGCTTCTCAAATAAAGTACGAGCAATAAAGCAAAAAATCTTTTCTGTTTTCTATAATGAGTTCTAATTCTCTAGTTAAGAATAATTTATTCTCCTACAGAGTGTTTTATAAAAAACTACAGCGCATTAAACTTTTTTTTTAAACGTTAATCTCATCTCTCCAGTCTAATGGCCACTGAAATCGGATTCCCCCATAGTCTCTGTGCCCAAAGATACCGAAACAATGAGCATAAGATAGCTTGTCTAAACTTAGTTTGTACACGAAAATAAATTTTTGTATCAAAAGTCACACAGAAAAGCCAATAGTTCGTGGAATTCTCATGTACTTTTAGTGTAAGACTCGGCGGATCAAGGCAAATATACGTACGCAAGGCGCAAATCTATAAAATTCTGTCTAGTACGTCTTTCTTCGTTATTAACTTGGTATTAGAGAGAAGTAGCATAAAATAACATTGAGTGCAGAAAAATCCCAGTCAACAATGTAAGTGTAAGTCGCACGCCTTTTGTGCGTGTCGTACCCTGAACCGCAGACAGGGCAATAATGGCCAAATTAAGGCACCCACAGATCTCTATCTATAAACGCTAAAACCGCCGCAAAATTTCGAAATTGCACACTGATAGTAGATTTATGGATGCCTTAGGCTAAGCTCATTCAGTTTTGACAGTTCATCTAAAATCTTGGTAAGACCAGCTGTTATAAATAGTAAGTGCGAACTCGAAAAAATCGATTTCATTCGTGAATTAGCAGAGTGCGTTATTGAACTGCAGATCTGCCATATCCATAGTTTACCTTGTCTATATAATCATGTACCATTTGAGTGCAAACAACAAACGAAAATTTGGCACGAAATACCTTTAGGAGAAGGTAGATAATTAATTAGTGTTTTCAGTGAGATTTTTTCGCACAGCGTATACGTGCACTCTGTTTTTCCAGCTGCAGTCTGTCGATACAATCTGATTTCTTCCAGAAAAGTGGGCAGATTCGACAAGAAAAACGCTATAGAGCGTAAAAATAACAACATTTTTTCGTGGGAATCTTTCTTGTATATAAAGGAGACTTAGTCACAGGTTCCAGTGTCAAATCTTTGTACTTGAAGCTAGGATCGAAAGAAGGACTGGACATCATTTCTGTTGATGTGTTTCCATTCTTTTAGATCTATTTGGTGCTGGAGTTCATCATTACGAGAGCTTTTTTCAAAAGTTTATTTGTTTGGTTTCGAAATTCAGAAATATGGAATATTAAAATTTAAAAAGCTGTAAAATTTAATTTAAGAACTAAAGAAAGAAACTTTTGAAAAAGTTCTGGCAACTTTATTTATATAAAACACGTGGACGTTGCTCGAAAATCAAAATCATCATATACTTTTGGAACAAAAAATGGTCCATACACTCAGGACTACAACTGATAGAACTGAACAGAGGTATTGTGTTTTCTACTTCTTGAAAAACAAAAGTTTTTAAGAACTAAAATGAGCGAAAACATAATTTTTTATTCGAAAATAAAAATTAAGCTCTTATATTTCAAAGAACTTAAAGGAAATTTTCAACTCGTTCTCTGAAAAGTCGAAGAACATTCTTTTTAGAGTGTAACAATATTATAGTTGCAATCTACATGAAAATTTGTCTCCAGTAATTTATAACAAAACTTTTGAATCATCAAGATCAGACTCTAACACATTCATCCTAAATTTCATCCTAACACATATCCTAAAAATACACAAAATATTAGTCAGTGAAGCAGATACGACTTCAATATCAGATTTGTCGCAAACAATAGAGATTGATTACATGTTTCTAATAATATTTGAAGAGAAACAAGTAATGTGCTTCTCATTTACTATTCTCGCTATGTACGTCTTTTGATACATTCAGCATTTACACTCGTTAGAATAAATGTTTTCGGATTCAAAAATGTAATTCTAGCACGTTATAATGTTTACGTCCATTTAGCAACGCAATTTCTATGCCTCCTTAACCTGTTCGAACGCTTAAACATTCTGGTGGCTCAACGACTTTGACTGAGGTAGAAACTATTTTTATCCGTTCAAAAGCGTTAAAATAAGTTTCTGAAGGTTGAATGTAGACCAATGTGTTCGCTTTGCGAACAGTGAAAAAAATGATAGTGAGTTGAGTTATATTGGCTACAATTAGTTCGAGGATCAAATACAGAATGTAACTGCTTACATGCGCGTATCATTTTTGCTGTAAGATTCGCAGTTTTGAAATTTCAAAAAAAACGGAATAGTCTAGGTATTCCATTGAACGACTAACGCTGGATTCGGATGAGAATTGTGATAACCATGTCGATTGGGAATATCTGACAGACGATATACATGACCACAGGTTCGACCACGCATAACTCGATCTAATTGATCCCATTCATCTTCACCCAACGTCTCCTTAACTCGATTGATCGTTGATCGATCAGCAAACCAGGCGAGACCATTGCAGAGTACTTCAAATTCTTTTTCTGCATCATGATGTTCTTTGTAGCGACCCGTAAAGATAACGAGCATTTTTTCTTTGAGCAATGGTACTTGTGTTTGACCTCGATCGAGCAATAGACCTATGAGGGTCTCAAACACTTTGCCACCTCGTGTCGGTGCATAAGCCATCATTCGGCCGAGAAAAACACCGATATCACTTGTCAATGCAATGCGTCGTGCTAATTCGAGTGTTCGAATTTGTTCAATTTTGGCCTCTGTGCGTTGTTGTCGACTAGCGTCGAATTCCTTATGTGCCAAAGCTAGAATTTGTTCATGGTTAGTACGTGCATCGAGAAAGGTTTTCTGAATGACAGCCGAATTTATTGCATCGTTCGAATAGAAACGAAGACATTGAACAAGCATGGATCGAAGAACGACACATTCGTGTTCATTCGACATATCCATCATACGAATGCCCAATCGACTGAGTACATTTTTAATAGGTTTGATAGAGAAAGCAGCTAGTAGTTCGGTCATTTTTGCACGTATGTTGTTGTTCATTGAACTTATGGATCGCTCGGCAATTGAAAACTCGACAACAATGTGCTCTTTAGGTGGTTGTCGTCGTGGTTCGTTCTTTTTGAGTACAGCTCGAGCATACAAAGCAAAACGGCCATCGTTTGATTTGTCATTTTTTGTTTTGACATATGACAAGTCATTCTTGTCTGACGTGCTTGCTTGTTGATCATCGTCTATACCGTAAAGTAATGCTTGGAGATGTTCTTCGATAATATTTCCTGAGGTGCCGTGATATAAATAGGCGAAATGGCGTCGATACAACTCTTCGACAATTGCATATCGAAGTAATTCATCAACAGTATCGACACCCACTGCATGCATATAACCAAAGAGTGTCATCATATTTTGAAGTTGAGCTTTAGTACGACCACTTGGGCCGGCAATGAATTTTTCGAGTATATCGTTACCTTCACCAAGGGATTGACGAGTGCGGTCAAGACAACCGTGGCATAAACGTGTAAATTCTCGTAAAATAATCTCTTCACGCTCGGATGTACCTTGATTACTAGCGTTCATTATTTGACCAAGGATTGAATACAGACCTAATAATTGATCGTCCTTGTAACCAGTAATATCAAGTGTAAATAAATAGCCAAGCATAGGTTCTAGCATGACTTGGACACGTTCAAAATGAGCATCACATATGTAAAGCGGTAAAAAAGCATTGATCGGTTCAGCAGCTACACCACGAGTAAATTCTGATTGACGATTTGCTGTACCTTGTTGAGCAATATTTGTGCTTGTCGTAGGTCCACTTGTCTTCGATGCTATAAAACCACCGTGAAGTCGAGCTGCTTCGCCAATATTCATTTTCATTTTGATTGCATCATCACATGCCGAACGCGAAAGGATTGTAACTGAAACACTTTTCACCGATAGCAATGTTGGAGCATCAACAACGTGTTCTTGCCGTTCGACCACAAGACCCACGCCCATAATGTCATCACGACTCTCCGTCATCATATCTTGACAATTGTTGAGCGTTAAACAGCAAGTGAATGTAGTTAGATCGACATTGCTGAAAGCGGTCGTCGCGTCGAATTTGAGCTGGTCCAGTTTGGTATCAATTAGCTGAAGATTTGACTGATTTCTCACTGCTCGCTGATCCATTCGACGTTGACGAGATGACTTTGAAAACCTATATGAGTATGTAAATACGACTAGAATCATCGGCTAACTTGGCGAAAGAACACGTTTAGACCCTCAAACGCTCTTCAGAGAGCTGCTGTTTGGTCTGATAAGTGCCTTGGATATGCAATGTTTTGGACAGAGTTCGACGGAAGAAATCAAGATTCATGAAAAAGAGGTCAAGGATTTTGATAGACGACAGAGCTACAACTTGAAATTGATTGGCATGAAAATTTAGTTTTTTGGCTATGTTGGACACCTGAGCAATGTCTTTTCTCTTTTGCAAATTAAGCTAACGTTGCCCGATAAAGACCGGAAGAGGAACAGCTAAATAGACAGTCTTTCGTGACACTAATAAGATGACCATAACTGAATCAATTATCAGTCTATTAGATTGAAAGACTACACTGTAAACTAGAAAATAACTTATAGAGTATCATAAACGATATTCTAGGAAAGTCCATATAAATTCCTAGAAGAATTTCTACTTTCTTGAAAATAAACTGTTGATATTCAAGTTTCGATTTTCTGTAGGAAATCAAATTGAATTTCTATTATTTAGAAAATCAAGCATTTTCTAAAGTTTGAAATTCGACGGATGAATAATAAAAGTTTGAAAATGCTTTAGCTTTTTCAAAGTCGATTTTCTATAAAATAGAATTTCAAAAAAATTTACAGTGTATATGCCCCCAGCCCTACTCAGTCGAAGGGAACGATGGGAACCCGACAGTTGCTCGATTAGTCGTAACAAAACACTATATTCTATAAAAGCTACGCCCTTCCAGTACGATTTAGATATTGTGCAGAAGTAAGAATCAGTTTTCTTTATGACGTTTGGTGAGGAAAACAGTATGAACCTACTTGTCGGCATATCGTAGATCATTCATTTTGGCAAGAGCAGCGGTTTGACTGAGTGACCCGCGTGCAATATCACCCATGATAGCATGTAGAGCATCCAGACGCGTCTGAAGCTCAGCCCTGAGTTCGATTATACCTTGGCGTTCCACTTTTGTGACACCAGCTCCAAACATTTTAACTGCTTGTAGTTCAGTTTGAATTTGATCTAGCTCTTTTTGATTTGTTACATCATTCAGACGCTTCGATAATGCTTTGATAATAAAAGCCGCATCGGGCTGAACAAATGTTGGTACGAGACGATGTTCGTTAGTACCAAGTGTTACTACCACTGGCTCCTGGTTATTTTCATGCAACAATAACCAACATTCGGCTTCGACATAATCAGCATCGATCATTTCACCGGTTACTTTGATTGGCTCTTTGATGTTTGGCATTCGAAGTGTAAGTTCAACAGTTGATCCAGCAAATTCGAACAATTCACAAAACTTTTCGTCCAATCCCACTGAACCTTCCGCATATCGATAGACACCTTCACTTGAACCCAAGGTCTTTAAAGTGTTCATCATATTCAGATCATGGCCACTCGAATAGCCGATGACATGTACAACACAATCGGAACCACAATTTCTCAAAAACATACGTAACTTAGTGTGCGCATCGGCAATAGCATTAGGTCGATTGCATGAGTCACATCCATCGGTCATAAATAAAATAACGATGCGCTTTTGAGCACCAATTTGTTTCACTGTCGTTTGAACCTGATTGAATACTAAATAGAAGCAAAAAAATAGAAAGTAATTTTATCTATAAAGTAGAATGCAAATTACCTTTGATAAAATCAGTCGATCCCATTGCTGTTGTATTAGCAATGGCCGCCAGATTTGTGATCGACACTGTATCATTGTATGTAATAACAATAGGCTCTGAATCAGCAGTTTTCGCGTGCTGTGCAATCATTCCATGAATTGCCTTTGCCGCTGATTGAACTTGCTTCCATGGACCTAATTATTTGTGTTTAATAATAATAATACGGTCACTCAAGCAAGTGTAGTCCGAAAAACTTTCTCATCACTAAATAGTCTTCACTTAACCGTCTGTTCCCTGTTAAATCAGCCCGCAGTTCAACATTTGAACGTCTGTAGCAGAAACAAAGGGATTTAAAAGGCAACAACATGTTTTGGGATTTTCAATGGTGAATTTTTGCTAAAATCTACAAAAATCATAAAAAATTCATATCTTGTGAAATTTTGGTTTATAAGCCTTAAAATGTCACTACAACATCTCTCTTCAAGAATGCTAAAAAGTTCAGATTTCTAACTGCTAAACGTCGTGAGTTATTAATTAATTATTATTAATGACATTTTCATTTTATATTAACTCGTATCAGTGTCAAAAAGGCATATCAGCCCAAACCCTCTGGAGATTCTTCATATCTTAGTGGTACCTATCTACCCTAAAATATCAGCTTAAACGGCTTTGATCACCTGGCAATGTTCCCTCGTAATATAAAATTTAACTTCCAAATACACTATGGAAAGAACGTCGAAAACTGCACAAGGCAGACTATCCAATAGATTTTTAATAGGTAGCACTTTCGGTCGTTTGCTCAGCTTCATGCGAACGCTCGCAGTTCTTTCTTTTTGTCGTATCCATAGTCATCAATGTTGTTATTCTAATAATGCATGTTTGTGGAGGAAACAACTGTCTACAGAATGGCTTGACAATTAAAAATAATTCTGTTCTGCAAAGAAAAAGACTATTTTTGTGTGTGGATGTGGACACCATCTAAAACAACAGTTTTTTATATTCATTTGCAAATCCATTCGTAGAAAATTTTGTGTCTTTTGAGAAGCGGAATTAGGAATACAGAACCGGTAGGCAAAAATCTAGAAAAACCCTAAGAGGATATGTGCTCTTTTTTCGATTTGACCGAGAAATTAAATTTTTCGCTTCTGTTACACTAGCGTGTATAAATGGTTTCATAATTTTTATTGTATGTTCGAGATATGAATTTTCCAGAATATAGGGGCTGCAAGACAGTGTTGCTAAAACCATGTATGTTTTAAAAAATTCTTTAATTATTTACAAACTCCTTTTATACAAGCTAGTCTAACAGAGGCTGTGCTACGTTTCAGGTCCAAATTCGAAAATTTAATTCTACCGGAAAACTGGAGTCCTGCAGGGAAAGCCCAGTGAAAATTCAATATCTCAGTCAAGTCGAAAAAGACCTTTTCTTGTTAACAGAAGACAATCTCACCTCCAGCCATTGAACCGGAACGATCAATGACAATAATAATCCGTGGAAGACAATTTGCATTTTCGTTATTGTTTCGAAATGGAATGCGTAGATTGACCAACGAGGGGTCGTTGCAGCCCGACGAAATAATAGTGCACGAGGCCATAATGATAAGAGAAAGAATACAAAATCTCTGTTCTACATAGCTTCATATAAGAAAAAACATTGCATACGTCATGATGTTTCACACAGGTGTCTTGCGCAATGACTCATACAGATTGAGTAATAATCTAACAGATAACCTTACTGCAACAAATAAGCATTTCGATGTCTTGCATCAGATACTTGGAGTAAACTTTAATGGTGAATTTGCACTAAAAGCTGCACAAATCATAAAATGTTCGCATGATATACGCCTAAGTAGTCACAAAAAAGTATTCTTCATCAGAGTAAACAATTCAGTGCAAAATTCCTGCATGAGAAAGATCATTATCGTGAAATGTACAGCACATATGCATCCTGTTTCCAAATAAGATGTGAATCTTTTATGATTTGTGCGGCTTTTTGTGCAAATTCACCATTCAAGTTTACTCCAAGTGTCTGATGCAAGACGTCGAAATGCTTATTCGTTGTAGTAACGTTATTACTCAATCTGCATGAGTCATTGCGCAAGGTAACTCATGTGACACATCATGATGTATGCAATGTTTTTTCGTATAGAAATGTTACCAGGAATCAAATTTAATCAGGTTTTCCTGATTCATTTTGGGCTCTGTCACGTAGATGCTTCCGAATTTTTTCAGAGGCTTTCCGCAAACTAAGAGGTCATCTCGTAAGGGCCGCCCCCCAGAAAAAAACTTTTTTGTCTTACATCCGATTTCAGTAAATGTTTGCCATATCAAAGTGTGACTATGAATTTGTTTTCTTGCTATCTGCTACCGTTCCGGGGTTTTCCAGAGTCCAAGGTCAAAAACCCACGCTCCACTGTGGGGCACCTTTTTTAAATATACTTCACGCTAGAGATCTCGGGTTGGTTTTATTTTAAACTGGACACTTAATTGCGTGGGCTAATGGGGCCAGATTTTTAATTTAGGCCTTCGTTCGTTTTCCAGAGATCCAACATCCTCAAAACCCGAAAAATTCTAACGTATTTTCCAGAAATCCTTAGTTTTCTGGAAAACTAAGGCCTGATTCAAAAATCCGCTTCCATCAGCCCACACAATTAGGCGTCTGGTTTAAATAAAACCAGCTCGAGATTTTTAGCTTGATGTATATTTAAAAAAAGTGCCCCTAGCTGGACATGTGCGAACAAAAAACGTGTTTTGAGAGAAAACCTTGTGAATTCCTTGGTCTGTTTTAGAACATGTAGGAAAAATGCTTGTAATGTTTGAACGAAAGATCACACAGAGTTGTACAATGTCTTATTTTGATCAGAAAAGTCTGCTCCACAAATCTACGTGTTCAGAAAAAATTTACTTGAGTAAGTGTCCAGAAAAAAATCATTATTTAAAGACTCTGCACAGTGGGCATTTTCTCATAGAGCAGGCGGCATTTTTTCCCCGTTAACGTTTTTTGAATCCAAAAACATTTTTTTGTAGGTTTTCGACTATGCTGAGTCTAATGGCGATGTCAGAAATTGAAAAGATCCTGTCGGTTTTCCAGAAAACCCCTGAAAAACCAGGCTCACCACCAAAAATTCTTCTCAACTGCACGAAATCAGATTTTCTAGGTAATCGAGCGTGCTGATTCCGAATATGATCGTCCCCCATATCGATGGGTGTGATTACTGATCCGTTATAAGCTAGGTTTTTGAAAAAATACCGCTTATACAATGCTCAAAAAGCCCGCAAAGGTCATCTTCTGTCTTTTCCCACGTAAAATGCATGTTTTAATTTTGAAATATTTTAGGAAACCACTACACACAACTCGACTGATTTTTGCAGTCGTTAAATCGAAATGTGCATTTGTAACAACCTACAAACCTACAGAGTTGTCCGTGATTGTGATGACGAATAGAAGCCTATCTAAATACGAGGAAAAATTTGATGGATTTTATTCCTGTTTTGGTGAAGGATTATAATGATTTTTCTCATTACAAACCAATGGGTTTCGGCTACGCTAGGAATAACTAATATGAATTCTTACGCATTCATTCCAACTCACTGACTTTTTCCTCCTATATCGACACCGCGGAAACAGTTTTGAACATTTTAATCCTGGATGAGTATAGTTTTTCAAAAACCATGATTTTTTGAGGTTTTCGAGGGTTTTTACAATTTGTTCCACATAGAATCCGCTTTTAATAAAAACTAGTTAGATCTTCGGAATCCGCATGAAAATCTGCATCGAATGATGTGTAAGTTCATTATTTTTCGCAACAAATTATTTTTCTTGGAAATCTATGGCCAAGATCCACTTGAAACTTTTTGCCAGACAACTTTATCTCTTGTTTGGTCTCGCATTTTCCGTTTCGCATTATCGCAGCAGTGCTAAAACGCTATTTCTTGTAAAACTAAATGATTTTAAACGCAAAAATAAAGATTTTCGAAAAAAAAAAGATTTTCGCCTGTTCTACGAAGTACTGGTTTAGGGGCTGAAGCCTGAGAAAAAACGTTAAAAGTTATTTTCCAGCAAAGCAGTTAAAAAGCATGTCACCAGACGCAGATTTTGACGCTGATTCCGAATATGGCCTTATTTTCAAGCAAAAGTACTTTCTCAAGGGAGAAAGCTGCGAAATACTCCAAAATCCTTAGGGCTTTTGGAAAGCCTGGAACGAAGCAC